GGCCTGTACAAAACTGAGTCATTTGTAGTATAACTTAAATGCAGGCTTATAATTCGAAAAATCTAACAATACCACAAACCACTTATTTAATGAAATATCAGTCAGTCAGCTACAACATAAGACCAGGCACATATATGCATCGGTCCAAGTTGCCATACCTCATTAACACAACAAGGTGAATACCGGATTCATAAAAGTAGTTAATTCAGAGGTGGCAATATATAAAAGAAAGATTGTATATAAGGATATAGTACAGGAAGAAAGAATTAGTTCGTAGAAAGAAAGATATGAAGTGATTTTAATCACTTAGTTTAAGGGAAAACAGAGAGTGTATACACTGACGTCATTGTGATAAATTCTGAGCTATGTCACCAAGAGTCTCCAACCATTGGTTACAATAGTCACGTGCACCCCAACCAAGTAGTCTGCATCTCCCAACATGACTCAGACTAGAATTTAGTGACTTCAAGCACTGATGCCACGTTTTGGTTTGGCCGCCCCTAACTTTCTTCCAACCATCTCCAACACCGTATAGCTTTGCACGTCGTGGTAATCGGTGTTCAGGCATATGTACTGAATCACGGGAAAAGATTTGGCAAAGTTTTACCTTTTTCATTTATTCTCCGATATCTAGCACAATTTTTTTCTTAGACAGTAGGAAACTTTATGTTGTTCTATTCCTTCGTTATTTCGTGTTTACAGGCATATTGTGGATTTACCGACGAGTTATTTCCTGAAAGAAAACTACCTCCAGTTGTAGCTACTGGGAATTGGGGATGTGGTGCTTTTCGAGGTGATGTAGAACTGAAATGTACGTAACATATTCTTTCAGACTTTCGAGTTAAGTTTATCTGAAATTTTATGGGTGTCATTTGTATCGAGTTTGTTATTAAACAGCTGCGTAGTCCGTAAACCCTAATCGTTTCAATTAATGTATTTACCGTAGATTGCTAACTGCTTACCATGGAGCTATTTTTATTTACGGAGTTGTAAGTTTTGGTAAAATTCACCTTATACTCAAAGATGTGAAAAACATTCTTTTATATATTATATGTGTTGAGCAATTTTTTTGGATTTTTGGTAAACTACTCTCCATCTTAAATTATTTTCTCCGTCGTGTGTTAAACGTTTCAGGTATACTTCAAATGATGGCATGCCTTCAAGCTAAAAAGTCACTGGCATATTTTACTTTTGGTGATAAAGGGTTTTGTGATAGAATCTATGCAATGTATACGTTGCTTTCTTCTGAAAAAGTAACTGTAGGTAAGGTGGAATTTTTTAAATGAACTATTCAATATATTCTCGTTAATGTAGAGAATGATATCGTAGTAATTCTAATTGAATATCTTCGTGAAAATATATAATGAAGTAAAATCATTCAAATAACGTTTATTTATCCCCCAGTTTAGATTTTTTCTGACTGTCAATCAAATAAGTATGTAACTCACCAAAAGCTATCCTTTGTTGTCATCCAACTTTAAATCTGTCGCGACGTCGATCTCTTTCGTAACGGCACTTGATTTGAAAAATGTAGACGAAGATTGATTAAGATTTACATAGACAGAATTAAAGTTTCTTAACTTTTCTAACCGAAGTACTCTACGGTGTACAAACTAGGGTGCTTAAGTGTATTTTCTTTTTTAATTTAAACAACTTTATCTGATTGGGTAATCACTATCTAAATCTTAATATGAAGCTACAAATTTTGAACAGTTCTGTCGTCCATTTTTTAGTTGATTTTATACTAAAGTTGACTTCAATGAATGTTTGAGACCCAACTATTCCAGAGATGCCTAGTGCCTCTATAGTGTCTTGCTTCTGGTGAAATAATATTGTATAAACTCTGATAAAGATTAAATTCAAAAACATTACGTTTTACTCTGGATTTCGTTCCATATTTTGCATATGAATCAGTTCATAATCAAAGTCAAATTGAGTATATGAAAATACCATATCTTAATTTAGATTTTTAAAGAAAATATTGCGGATATCTATTGTAATGTTCACCATCACTATGGATTGATAGACTAGACTTTTATAAAATATAGTTGTTCTAATTATGTAGAGATATCTTATTAACGGATCATGTATTGTGCCTTGGGTTTGGAGAATTTGTGCAAAACTCGAAAATCAGGTCCTATTTTAATTGGATCGCCCCCATATTATAGTAGCACTTTCAGACTGTTCTGTTTACAACTGTTGTCTTAGTATAGAAGTACTTTTCCTCGTCAATATCCTCTTTTGTTATCAAAACTAATGGTTTATTAATTTCACGTTTTATAGGACGATTATGGCAAATACTAATTGAGCATGCTGGACATGACTTGATGGAAAACCAATCTGTATTTGATCTTATTTCTCAAACGTTGAAGTAAACGTAAATCATTGATACATATGTAAAATATCACTAACTTTTATGTCAAACCTCTTTTTTATTTGCCTTTTCACGAACTTGGTAGCTACAATTTCACTACTTTTGCTTTGCAACTTGTACAAAACAAAAGGAAAAAAAAATAAATCAACTCCAAAGTAATCGTTTTGCTTGTAATTAGAAACATAATTCATTTTTATCTTAATGGTTAGTCTTCCAGGATGGGAGTTCAACCTTTATTGAGACAAAGTTCTGTTTCTGTTAACTAAGTATTCAACGTTTAGATTTTCTTTGAAGTGTAATTGCCATTCCGTTAAATAGGATAGATTAATTATATAATGTCCATGTATAACCAGGAATATGAGTATTCAGTTTTCAATGTTCGAAATTAACATTTAATCCAATAATTATGAAGCACTTGTTTCTTTCCGTTCAACGTTAATGCGTAATAAGTGTAGTCGTCACTCGTACATGACTATTGATTACACTTCTAAAAACATAGGTCATAGACGATTGTACGTCTGCGTCTTTTAGCAGCCTAAATGCTTCTGTTTGGTAACTTTTAATGTGAGTTTTATGCGGTTGTATCATACAGTCATACAAGTTCGACTGCTTATTGAGAATTCGATATCGATACCAACAAGAACATGTTAACACAAAGGTACAGGTTAAGCATAGTTGTTCCCCAGTATGAATTAGTCTCTTATATCTAGTGTGACCGAATATATCCATCTTCAAACCTTGAGGAATCACAGTTCACTTTAGTTGTACAAATCAATAACTGTATATACTGCGTAGGTTACTTAAAAAAGACGAAGATGTATCATTACAAAACAAACTATGATTGCTTAAGTTAGTGTTGTAAGACTGTAAAGTAAAATTTATCTGCTTACTATTATTTCGGTATGCCTAAATAAATATGGAAGATGACAGTACAAAAGATAGGCTTTGAATTAACTTCGTGATCCCATGATTAGTACTAAATTGTTATTTAAGATCCTAATAATTTCATTATGCTAAATATTCTTAATAATTCTGTTAATGAAGCTTAATTATCTACACCATTAGCATAAGCGTAGTCATTAGAGCAATTAATCTTCAATATAATGGATTGCACGTCTTATCCTCGGTCGGTTTATATTGCGGTGTGCTACTGATGTCGACAGATATAAGTAGTACGTATCACCAACCGAAAGTGAAATGCCTGGAGGCAGAAGGTAAAGAAGATCAAAGAAAAGAGAACGAGAACAAAGAATGATAGGTGTGGAAACGAAAGGAAAATGAAGTCTGAGACGATTGACTGATATTTGCAAAAGGAGCAGTCAATTTTGAGACGATTGATTGGGAGTTTACAAATTAAGCATTTACTGTATGGTTCTCAGATTTCACTAAGATGTTCTGTAATCTTGTGTTTCGAATACATTCGATTTTCTCGACTTGTGTTCTCGTTCACTTCAATATTATTGACCCTAACAAAAGTAGTGTGACTTACACCTGCGTACAGAAAGTTGTACATGCTGGATGGATAACCGTAATGGATGCCTTGCTTTCCCCTTGATTTACCCAAAATATAGAAAGACAACAAGGCTCAACATTTTTATTATTTTATTCTTGAACTGCGATACGTAGATATGTGTTTAATTGGGACTTGATTAATTCTAGACATACTTGTAATTTTAACGAATTTGTCACCAGATTTCACATGGTAGTCTGTTGGTTCTAGTTTTGTTAATTTACTCCGTCCAGTATTACAGTTAACACTAGTGTTGGAATCACTGAGACGAGTGGGCTTCATTTTTCGGTCAGTGTTTGTATTTGTTCTAATTGTGTGTGATTGATGTTCTGTGCTTTGTATGGTATCTCGACCGGAATTTTTTAGTTTATCAATATTTTCTAATTTATTTGACCAGTAATTGTTGCTATCATGGAATTTTTGTGAAATCTAAATAAAATGTTAATGAAATAGAAGAAATTATTTGTAGGGATAAACAATCATAGTGTTTACTGAATAAATTAGAAAGTGAATGTTAAGGCCTTATTTAATTAATGCAATAAAGTATAGAGGTTCATAATCTAGGCTTAAAACAAAACGATTATGGTATGTATTCCGGATGAAAATACTATTGAACTAACCAAAACAAATATGTGAAAGTCCGACCTAGCTATTTATGGTTAGAACTATGCTTTAACTAACTAAAAATGAAAAGATAGATTATTCAATACACTAGGAACCACGCAAAGGTTATGTTAAAAACCATATTCAACTGCCTAAGTCCACTTCATAAACTTTGTGATATGCTTAATTGTGCTGCGTACTTCGCTAATGACGTGTGATGGTTCTATTGGAATGATTTTATCGATATAACTAAGTGATATCTTTATAGTCAACAAAATAAGCGACACCAAAATTTAATTTTGGTCTAATATCGGAAAAAATGTTTCAGAGTGAGGTAACAGCTTTTTATGACAATGAAGACATATTGTTATAATTGCGAAACGGAATAACTAATGCTAAGACTATATATAATTTGCAGTGGAATAATTAAAGAATAGTTTAATACACTTATGGTTTTATCGATTATTGATGACCACAAGTTGATTACATTTTTAAAAAATCAGTACATCACTACGAATTTACATTTCCCATGAAACTGTCAGAGATATATCTGTTTCATATTTTATTATCCGGTGTTGAATTTTTCAACGCACATCAAGTCAGTACCCACACTCTATGGATACCATCTGGCAAAATACTTTATTTGCCGTGTTGGTTGAAGCAAATTCAGGAAGGAAATATAAATGACTGGCTGGAAGGGAATAGACAACTGAAAGAGAGAAGTATGCCTAATACTATAACAGTATGGTTCAACAGAGGAGGAGAGGTAATTCATGTTGGTGAAGTGTTAACTATCTACTTGCCCTTAACTGGAGTCAGCGAAGTACCTGTGGTACAGAATGCTCTCAAGAATGAAGGTATACCAGGTGTAGAAATGAATTTGGAGCCAAAATACAGTGAAACACTTGCGGGAATCAAACAACTTCTGTTCACTCATGAAATGGAAATTGTCACGTGTGCAGCTATTAGATCGACACCAATAATTGGTGTTGAAAACAAATGGGCTTTCTTTCAACGTGATAGTACAATTGTTAGGCAAGCACAATTTGCTTTCCACGTTTACACTCCACCAATCATAGTATGGAGCTATGCACTTGAAGCACTTTCCAAAGATCTAATAACAGAGAAAAACCTTACACAAACATTGACTAATATAAAACACTGGTGTACATCAAAAGTAAATATAGCCGAATATAAGTTAAGTCCTTGTCAGGATATAGTAGTACAGGTGTTGCCACTGACCTCACTCAAGAAACCAACTGATTCTTTGCTAGTTGAATTACCGAAAAGTACATTCACAGAAATATCAATACTTATTGAACTATCACATGAACCGATCTTCTTATTATTAAGTCCTGCAGGAAGTCATTTTAACTATATTCACGCTACTCTAAAAGCGGAAATGGACGAACTCATTAAAAGATCAGTAATAAAGGACATTTTATTTACACCCGAAATCGCCACTCGCATACGAGTAGTCTGTCCACCAGGTAGTCATACGTATCAGCCACCACCTTTGTTCAAGTCATTCACTCCTAGTGAGCATGATGAATCATTATTCGAAAACTCATCAGCATATCCACTAACAAAATGGTCACTCGTATGCCATCCATGTCCTCCAGGTCATGCTCCTCAAACTCCATACGCATTTAGTGGTTGTCACTTGTGTCCTAAGGGTTACTACTCAGGTGAAACGAATTATCCGTCAAGTGGAGGATGCCTGCAATGTCCCATTGGCTTTACTACGGATAACATAGGCGCGAAGTCTGTCAGAGAATGTCATGTGGATGGAGGAGCTATATCTCGTCTGATAATTGGAATCTTCATCAATGTATGGAAAGAATTTGAGCAATTTTTGATTGATAATTCGAGAAAAGACTTTACTACTAGAGCGGGAGAACAAATCCAGGAAAATTACTGGGTTTCGAAGAAAAAAATTGGTTTGCCTGTATGGATCTTTCTGAGTTTATATATCTTGACAGCTTTATGGTTGTCATCAATAGCTGTCTATCGGATGCGTCTTTACATCAAACTACGCAGAATGTATCAAGCGCAGTTTAGATTACTTTTAAAATCAGCTTTAGTGGGACAAATAAATGTAGTTCTTCGAAATAAACAACAAATAAGAAGCAGTAATAATGTCACTTGATAAGGAATACAACCAGTGAAGCAATCATTACAACGATGCAAAATTAATGCTTCATGTTGTACATTTATAAAGAAAATATAATATTTCAGAGCAAATTTCATTTTATTGAAAAAAAGATCGTGAGAGTCAATTTTAACCGAAAATCACAAGTCATGTACGATATACTATTTTGTATTAAGTGACCAAATCACTTGTAAACCAATTTTAGTCAGATAAATTGTCATGAACGTCATTTTTCTGATAATTTAAATGAATTGTGAAAGTTCAAAATATAAAAAGGGTAAGTAATTACTGGAGGAACAGGGAACTAAAGTTACAACTGGATCTTCATAATCATTTATCTTTTCAGAGTATTTGTTAGCTGAAAACTATAGGAACTGCTCTTTAAATATGGGGGGAATTACGTATAATTTAAGATTTATTCAGGGTTAAATGATTTACAAAGTATGAATATACTATTTGTCCTTTGTTCTTAAGTTTAGGTCAAAAATTAGTTTTCAAAATAGATGTTAGATCCACATTAATTGGATTAAATTGCAAAAATTGCATAATATATAACAGTTGTCCATACCAATCCCGCTATTTCCCTTTCTATTCTTTTGATGTTTTTTGGGTGTGCCGCATCAATTAATCATGATCCATTATTCTGTATTGTAACATCAATAATATTCATTGAGTTCTGTGGGTTATGACTGATTTTTGAACAAAATCTCAATGGACATTGGCATTGATGTTTCTGATACTCGTCTAAATTTGTGTTCGTGAGCGTAGACTTAACAGTGTTAAAAATTATTAAGATCCGTACGAGAAGTGAAACCAAAGGATTTAGAAAATTACATATTTAACTCGTTTAAATTTGTATGAATACTGAAGAACAATTCACAAATAATTATCAATCTCTAGCACAGATTGCCCGCAAGAAAACTGATTACTTCGTTTAACTTAATATCGATCAGGATTGATCGTTTAGGGCTAAAAAATGGAGCTAGTATTTATTCATTTCTATCTTTAAGACACTTGATATGTCTTTTTGATACCCTGTTCTAATATTGAAATTCATTCTAATATCATTAAAAGGAAAGTAATTAGCTGTTGCCTGTTCATAAATTCTATTATAATAGATTAACCATTTTTAATTCAAATCTTACGGATTCAGCTCGTTCAAGCCAAACAGTTTTCGATTCTTGTTCAACCAAACTTTCGTCTCTATACTCTATGCAGTGATCCGATTCATCGAAAAATCCAACCTTGAGATGAGAAAATAGAAAATAACATAGATGTATTTAACGGGGAAATGAGTATTAGCATATTTTAAATTTGTGAGCAATTTTCGCTGTTAATTACTATTTTTTTAGTGGTGATCTTATTGCACTTAGTAGATGATTAATTTCCATCCAATTTACTATATTTATACTATACAGTCGGAGGTTAATCTGTTGATTTTATAATGATGCAGATTTTACATAATATAGAACTCATCAATCCAACCTCTGGTAAGGTCGTGGTTCTGCATCGCCGAGAACTCCTATACTAAAACGAAATAGCTATACGGTCCTTTCTGGATCTCAGCGGTTGTCTGAAATCGTAATGTAAACTATTATTGTTTTCAAATAGAGGTCTTGCACATACTAGGCTAATTTATCGATAATATTTGCGACTGACTGATCTCAGTTGTGATGCTGATGAAAACCACAGAGAACTGGACAGCTGTTTGGAGTTCAAACGTATCGGAACCGAAGCATTTGCCGCCAATGAGGCTGGATGGTCATTCCACCATAAAGCGAATCGATATGTTATAAATCTGTACCTTTTGATAATAATCCAGTAGTCTGATAGATAAGAGCTAGCTGGCTGTCCTGGGTATGGTCATGAGTACTAACTACCGAGGAGTTCTATACTGTTTGGAAGCAGTTGTCTAGTGTAAGGAATAATATTAATTATTAGACAGTAGTTTATCTAGTTGTGAACCTAAATATGTTTTACAGTTTTTGAAACTAAAGTGAACTTGAAAGCTGAAATAATACACCGTTGGGATAAAATTCTATTCCAGTAGAGATCGTTTAACACCCAAGATAGAGTTGTATCTAGATGGTTGCGGAAGTTGCTTTCAGGCACCACACACAGTGTAAGTTGACCATTTAATCTCATTTATCTTCTCTCTATAAAAGGCAAGGAACATCTCTGAAAGATTTTTGGTTGATTTCTTAAGATATTTCGATGCCATTATTCACATGCAATAGCCATATATCAGTGTACAGTAGAATTTATCTTAATGGTACTAATTGTATCAATCTTTTCTTCATTGTTACAAGAGAGGCAATTTAGAAGTGAATTAATATTCGTTTAAATATGAATAACTCACTTTGTGTTTATGATTTCCAATATCAAACTGAGTTAAGTTTGGATACTTTACTTTTGGCATGGACAGAAATTCATCTTCCATTTTATTCTTATTTAAAACACTTGAATTTATCATTTTACATGCATTTTCGACTTCCATTCTTAAATAATGATTAGCTTGTTTAAGTGCTTCCACTCTTGATTCGATGGAATCAGGTGAATTATCGGAACTGTTTAAATCATGATTGGTAAATTTCACAGATTCATAAGGTGATGCGTTACGTATTTTATTTCGTTCTGAATACTGTTTAGATCTATTACTACGAAACAGAAGTATATATTTGTTTTCAACAAAGAATATATACAATTTTATTCCTAAAATAGCATTAAAAATTAGGATTTTAATTGTAATCAGCAAATAAATATTAATCTGTGTTATGGTGTCCAGGAATCCTAACTGTTTTTTCAATGGATTTGTTTACTCATCATCTTGAAGATCATGTCATAATGAATCAAATAAATTGGTTCATTAAGTAGTCGATATTTCTACTATGAAAATATGTACCGTTCTCTCCATGTAAAGAAGAAATCTCTTACCAACTAGTCTCTCAGATTTCTCATTCACCATATTAACCTTTGAGATACAGTCTCAGATAATCATACAACAGACATAGGACTATCATCTGAGACCGATTTGTATACACCAGAAGCCCTTAAATTTCAGGCATCGCAATTTTATGATTGATTTCTTCAAGTAGTTATGATTTAATGGTTGTTGCAGAATCAGACGACTTCTAGTGCAATTACCAGAATCTCCGCAAATAAACTAAACAGCTTTTTATTATTTCACGATTTCAATTACCAATGTTTTTAAAACAAATTTATTGTTAAAGGTAAATTTATACTGTTTAGAAACCTTTCATCGCTTAACAAAATATTTAAGTCATAAAAAATATTTTTCTTATTTGAGTAATCAGAGTTTATTATCAGAATCACGAACTTATGATTTTTATTAAAATTCATACCCATATCTTCAAACTGAATATAAATATTCACGACTTGGAAAGTTATGGCAGTCAACTCTTGTCTCGACAAACATTTTTTGAGAAAAGACTTTTAATTATTGCTATAAAAGAACATATTTTACGTGAAATTTGCCTTTGAATCTGAGTCCTTTCTATATTCCCAACCAAAGTGATGCGTGGTTAATGAAGGGGTGTAAACGGATATATCTGGTATACCATGTATAAGTTCTGTCGTATGTATACTTCTGTCCTCTCACCTCACGTAAAATGCTCGTATTCTAGTCTGCATCTGATACTCTATTAAATGGATGTATCTTGTCTGAGTGTATTACGTGATTAGGTATATCCCAGCACTATACCACCATAATTGAGATAGGAGCTTCTTTGGCAAATATTGAATATTTAAACCAAAATCAGCAGTAATAAGCAAAAAACACTGATTAGTCAAAACTAGTTAGTATATGGCGGCATTCTACTTATGTCTGACTGCTGAATTTCCATGAAAATCATTCTGGGTAGTCTTGCATATGAAGTATATTTTTGTGTAAGTATGAGAATAGAACATGATAAACTACAAAAAGTAATCACAAACCTTGAGAGTTGAAGTTTAGGTAAATATTCCATTTCATTTTTTTCAATACTCTCCGTATTTGTACCGGCATTTTCCGACTTTTGAACAGCTTGAATACCAGCCGAAACTTTCACTGTAGTACTTTCACTTTTAAGTCTTAATTATAAAAATACAAATTAGCCTATTATTCTCAGAAGAATAAGAGTAAACTATGAATATTATACGTCATTTATCTACTTTAAAAGTTGTTTTGGGCATTTATTTTTCCATTTCATTGTTCTCTTGGTAAAGAGCTTCAGAGCTACTTTCATTTTTATCATTCTCCTTAAGTTATTCGTGATTGTATACATCCTAAATGATAGATAGTGTATAACTTTATTTCCTACCGTATATATCTACCTCGATAAAAGTGAAGAGTTCTACTTCTTTTAAATACACGATAGGAATCTCAATTTAAAATGATTATTTCTTTTTGATTCATGAGTGGTCGGTCAAATTGGAATATAATGATAATATGTTGATTTATTTACCATCTTTTACATTATTGCGTTTTATGTTTTGTAGCATTTTACTATCTCATAGAAGAAAGATCAAGGATTTTAGGGAAATACTACATATATTTATGAGAGTTTGATTTTTCTGATTGTTAACATTAAGAACTGCAATTTATTAACCTCTATAGTTATATATGCAACCTGAGGGGATTGACTCAAAATTGACTTTAGTTACAATTTTTAGTGTATCAGTTGAACGGAGCTAAATTAGTTCTGTAAGATGCTATACTATATTACTTAAAGAGATACTTTTATATCTTAGATACTTTTCCTACGTACAATGTTTTAATCCATATAAATACACTAACCTTGTCGTTCCATCCAAATAAAGTATTTAAAACTTTATTTTTACAATAACGTATAAAAACTTTGAAATAGTTAGTCACCTTAATTTATCTAGTTCATCCTGGACATGATTATATTCATTTTGTAAATTCTCTCTCGATAATTTAACAGTTTCAAGTTCATTGTGCATTATACGGTTTTTCGATTCCATTGAATCTAGTTTCTGTTTTAATAGTTTGTTTTCATCACTACTCTGCAAAACGAAAAGAAACTATAATAATCATGTGCATAAACTGATAACCTTATCTTTACCAGGAATA